CTCTCGCCGCAAGCAAAGCGCAGCCGGCGACGGGGAATCTATTCGGTGCCCCCCGACGGCAGCCCCGGATCGCAGAGAGAAGCATCAGCCGGGGCGGCCCGGACATCGCATCTCTCAGGACCCCGTGTCACTGCGGGACTCCCGCAGGGACAGCGCCCGCCTCGCTGCCATGAAGTACTTTTTCTCCTGGCTCCGCTCCCCCAGCACCAGTGGTGGCTGGTCAGGGGAACAACCTCCCTGTTTTTTTAATTTTAAGGAAAAAATGCTTCTTCCCTCATTCTTTCTTTCTACTCATTTACTTTGAACCGAAATCTCTCGCGTCCAGAAGCAGCATCTCTGGAACAGACGGTGCTCACCGTTTTGAAAGAGAGAGCTATCAGTGAGATGTCCGGGGGGATATCTGCTTTTAAAAACCGATGAGACAAGAGTGTCTCTGCGTTTCACGCGTGTGCGTGAGCGCTTATATGCGGGAGTGTATGGGTGCGAGGCGGTGCGTGTTAAAGTCTTACTAACAAGCATTTGTTCCCAGGAATTTATTGTAGTATTCAAACTAAACTGCTGGAAAAATAAAAGAGGTAAAGTCTGCCTCGGAGCTGGAGTGCCCACAGCAGGATATGACGCCAGGAGTGTTGTAAAGACTGTCTGTCCTTAGAGAAGGTACCATTGTGCACGGCCTTTTATTTATAACTTGGTAAGTGCCAGCAAACTCGCCTCCTTTACACTCCGAAGTGCCAGCCCAGCTTTCCACAGGGCTCTTTATTTGCAATCGTCTATTCAAGAACTGTCACTCCCGAGCTTCAAGTTATTCAAGACATTAATCAATCAAAAGGATGGGAATCGCTCAGGTTTCCTCCTTTAAAATGAGGGGGGAAAATGTTTTCTGTGCTCCCAGTCCGCGTTCCCTTAAAGAGCCGAACGATGGTTGCGGGGCCGGTGCTGGTCCCAGGGAGGGCGGGGGTTCGCGTTATTTAGGCAGAAATCCGGAGCCGCAGTTGTAAAAGAACCGGCCGCTGAGGGACCGGCAGCATCACGGCGGGGACAGCGGCCCCCGGGGAAATTCGGAGTCTCCGTCGCGCTCCGCTCTGCAATGGGGGGCGAGGGGCCCGCAGAACAACCGGCACTCACCGCACACCGGGGAGGCCTCTGGCCCGTGGTCCCGCTCTCTCCAGACCCCCACCCCGGCCACCAAACCGAGCGGTTTCTCTCGCTTTTTAAACGCACACAAATAATCCCTAATGCCAGGTGCTGCCCGGGAACGCTCCCGCACCCCAAGGAACAGGCTGGCAGGAAAAGTTCGCACGCAGTAAAAATCAGCGTGTGTTTCACAAAGCGTTTGTGTTCTACAAACACCCCGATGGCCGGAGCTTTGAGAAACCCGTTAGCTA